AATTATTACCGGATCCATAATCAAGTACATATTACATATATAGAATATTAAACCATTTAAAAACCCATTTTAAAAAAGTAGTCTGCATGTTTATTTAAAAGTGTAATAACAATAATAATAATAATAATAAACTAATAGAATTTATTTGCAATTAAAATAGATATGCAACAAATAAATGAGATAAAATGCTAACTTTATATACATTTATTCAAATTCATAGGGTCCTTGTTTAAATCATGTGCTCTTTGTTGCCCTCCTCTGGAGGGCACGGCCATGTCATGCTCTAAAAACATGGCCTAAAGAAGTTTACTGCTACATAGTTCTGTGGCTGTAGAAAATATGAGCAAATGCTATTAGCACTTAATGCACTTAACAAGCAGTAAAACATCAGTGCGTCTGAAAGGAACACTAGCGTGCAGCTGGATTTCTTCTTCAGTAACCAGTAAATTGACTCTAAAGTCTGTCAAGCTTTACTTTGTCCTGCCGTTCCTTTAATCACTGCACTAATAAAACACATACCACTTAGCAGAGAATTAGTCGAGTACGTTTAGCAGTGGCGCTGCAGTATTTGAGTAGCATGCTAACTCTGCTTATTAGACTTCTAACCGGACGCCGCCTTCATACTAAAATAGGAAAGACTTTTGCAGATGTTCACTGCTCTGTTTTTATTAGCAGGCCTGTAAATCTGGCACGCTTTCACATCCACAGTTATGGACGAAACGAAGAAATCTCTGACAGGTTTTGTTTATCCAGTCATTTAGATGCTTCATTTTAGACATTTTACTGTATTTCCACATGCTTTTATCTTGTCCACCAAGCCTGCAAGCAGTCGAGCGGAAATTTGCATTAGTGGACGATTATGAATACCTGTGACAGATTCTCTCTCTAGACTCCCAGGCTGTAAATGAATGGTCTCCTACTGCTGACTCGCATGGGAAGACAGGGACCAGGCAATTAGACTTTAGTAGTTAATGTAGAAGCTTCTGCAGGCAGGCCAAGCAGGTTCAACATTCCTGCTGGGCTGTCGCAGGCTTTTTTCTTCCCTTCTCTTTCTTCCTGGACTCCATCGGAAGGTATCACTCATGACAGCTAACCTGTTGATAAGCTCTGAGAGTTTATCTGTGGGTCAGGATGAAGGCGGGCCTCTCGGCGTGGGGTCCCAAAAGTGGAAGTGACTACAGCAGGACACCGTTCATATTCAACCTTCACCAGCAACAAACCTCTTTTCAGCTTGAATCTAATTGAATAAGGAGGTAAAAGAGTTTCAGCATCGCCTTCGATGGTGACAAAACTTGTAATGAATTATTAAAGAAAGACCCAGATGTGTGCACTGTTGTTGTTGTGCCTGCGGGGGTTGTTGTCCAAGTGCTCTGTGCATTAAGCACGACTCTCATATCCCTGGTGGCTGTATGTGTGTGTGTGTTTGTGTGTGTATGTGTGCGTGCAGGCATGTGTGAAAGTGAAGCACTCATGGGAGTGGCAGTAGGTAGACTGGCCCCCAGAGCACCGTGTCTGGCCACTGGCTGATATGACAGGAACATGCTGGTACTGTACTAAAGCTAAAGTAAGGCCTGCAGGCCCTGTCTAACTTAAGTCAAGCATATTGTCTCTAACAAGCCTCCGGCGTGCCGTGTAAACGCAAGCCTGTTGTTCTGTATAGGTGTGACTGTACAAGCTCTTTGTTGTGACCTTTGTTGTGAAACGAGAACAACCCGGTGAGATTCAGATTTATGCTGATGTTAGATAGCTGTGATGAGAATTGTCAACATTTTAGTGCATTGGTATTATTTTAAATATTGTGTTTACATTTTATTTTGATCATCCCTTTTATTCATTCTGTTGTACTTCATGTAGACACCACAATTTGAATACACAGTGGGCATTAAGGGAAGGGCATGGTTAGCAAATAATGCTTAGTTTAGACTTAAGTTGCTTAAAGGGCACCTATTTTACCCCTTTTACAAGATGTAAGATAAGCCTTTGGTGTCTCCAAAATGTATCCATCATAAGTGCCCTTTAACTCTGTACGGTTTGTTTCAGTGTGCATTTCCACTGCAGTTTAGTATCACTTTAGGTGGGTGGGATTGCTGACATACAGTATCATACTGTAGCTGTGCAGCCTGTAGTTACTGCTGTGATGTGACAATTTGATTTGCTCCATTCAGCCACTTGTTTATAATGATATGACAATCATTCATTTTTATACTGTATGTTATTAATGTGCAGACAGACACAATTTCTCTTGTGTGTGAATGCACGGAACATTTACATTTTGCTAACATTATGGCCTGTTTGGAACCAAGGTGGTACTAAAAAGTAACAGGTACCAAGTGGAAATGAGTTGTACCAAATCAAACTAAATCATGCTGTACTGGTACCATGCAGTGGGAAAAGTGCCTATAGGGACCCAAATTGTGCCAAGAAAATCTCCCACTATACCTTTATACCATCACCTGCAGCCTAAACTGTTGATAAAAAGGAAGGATGGATCAATGAATGCATGCTGTTTTTCAATTTTTGACCCCACTGTCCAAATGTTGCGGCAGAACTCGAGACTCATCAGACCAGACAACCTTTTTCCAATACTCCCAATAATAATGAGCTGTGTGTGTATTGTAACCTTAGTTTCTTGCTGACAGAAGTGTCACTGGTGTTTCAGCTTCAAGGTTTGATTTGTTTTGTGCACTCATCAGTATGTTGGTTATAACAAGTGGTTATTTCAGTTACTGTTTCTTTTCTAACAGCTAGAAGCAACCTTTAAATTCTCCCTGACCTCTGGCATCACCAACAGAACTGCCACACTTTGGATATGGTTTCTCTTTCTGGACCATTCTCTTTAAACTCTAGAGAAGGCTGTTTGTAAAATCCAGTAGAAAAAGTCCTAGATTGACTTGTCTGTATAATAAGTCAAATATTCAAACGTTATTCTTATTTCAGCAGATCATCTTGTACCTCATTCAGGCATGTAGATGTGGTCAACAACATGATTGGATTATCACAGATTAAGGAACTAGCTGAATAAGTGTTCCTAATAAAGTGGCCAGTAAGTAAATATCAAGCATTATTATACAGCTGACTTGAATTTGAATGGTATGTTATTCCCAGATAACAACTGCTGAAACTAACAACATAGACTCATCCTTAAAATAATCTTGACTGTCAGTGATCAGGCCATGTTCACATTTAGCACTTTTGGTCCTCACCTGGGTTTGTTTGATGTCAGAGTTTGGTACGTTTAGCTAGTGTGAGCGATGTCTTCTAAACTTGTGTGCGCACCCACGGAGTGGTGCCCAAGTCCGGCACCACTCGAGTCCTCGAGTACCCGAGTCCGCCTGAAAGATGTGGTCTGGGGTAAAATTGGTGTGAACTCTGGTGTGGTTAACTTCTGATCTGAATGCAATTTTACCAAATAACGGAAGTGAACCACCAACTGTACAACAAACGTTAGTTTTCATAACGTTCATTCATGTGTGTATGTCTGTTTATCATCTACTGTTATCTTGATGACTACTAAAAGATACTAAAAACTAAAAGATGGGCTGCGTCCGAAACTGCATACTTCCATACTATATAGTACGCTAAAAACAGTATGCGAGCCAACTAGTATGTCTAAATTCATAGAATTAGAAATTCAGTATGCGGGAAGTACCCGGATGAGCTACTACTTTCAGCGAGATTCTGAAGTGCGCATCCCATGCACACTGCGCTATCCCATGATGCCCCGCAAGAAAATAAATAAATGGGAGTGAAGCGACGCAACTGACGTAGGTAGGTCATGTGACCATGACAAAATAGCAGATGTAGTACGTCCAATTTCATTCATACTTCTCACATTCATACTGTAAAACGCACTTTTGTAATGGCAGAGTAGTACGTTTAAATTCAAATGCAGTACCTACTGAGTAATAGGCAGTTTTGGATGCAGCCATTCAGTCAATGTGGTACATCTTTCCATTTTGGCGCCGTGGCTTCCATGGCCATCACCTAGCAGCTTGATGACGCAAGCATACCAGGGTTCAGAAGGAAAAAAATATGGCGTGAACACAAACCAGCTAAGAAGGTGGCAAGAAAGGAAAATCAAACTTGGGTTCGGTCAAGACAATTGAACCAAGTGTGAAAGCACCCTTAACAGATACAATACACTAAAACATTAAAACGATAAATTGTATAATACTGTATATTGTGTGTCCATACTTTCTTACATTCTACCATCAGTTATTTGTTGCAGTTCAATAATGAAATTTGCTGACATGAATACCCAACCTGCTCAAGGGAAGATGTTACAGATTGGTTGAATTGTAATGTGCACGGTGCATTTTTATAATAATGTTCCCTCGAATGTACAGTCATCCCTGTGCATGTCATCCTATTATTTCTTAGGCTCATTAAGTTGCCGCTAGCTGGGTTTAAATTCAGCCGTCCAATTAGCAGCATGCTGCGCGGTGCTGTGGGTGTTGTGCACCTATTTCTCTTATGGAATTCTGACGGATTATTCATCTTATTTCTACCTGGGGTCTTGAGTGTTTGCCGTCTCCCTCAGTAGTGGATTAAGTTGAAACACTGCAGTGGCTGTGTATGTGTGTGCTATCGGTCAGGCAGCAGGAATGCAACACACTCAGGAAGTATTTGAAATGCAGTACATCAGAGCAAATGTGCAGAACCCGCTCCTGTCAGACGCTCCGTTCTGTCACATCCAAATTACACACCAGCAGCACAGTGTTAATCGATGCAAATGGCTTTTTGGAATATAAAAATCTCCTGTACCAACCAACGCCACACAGATGCTGGCTCGGACAGCTTTATGAGGTGCTAGAGGATCTTTGTGGGATTTAACCATGCACTAGATTTCTTGTTATGATGAGATTTACTGAGTCTTTTCATTTCCAACAGAACTTTTATAAATGCATATTAGAGGAAATGCATATGTGTGTGAGTGGGCAGCACTGCCAACTGTGCTGTTTGTGATTCTCATCCCCTGTTTGATACTCTCTCTGTCTTAGATATTTGTGGTGGCAGTGTGGCTTTGGGAGCTGTTCATGCTGCCTCTCTTTCTCCTCCTGCTCATTGGCTGGAACTACTTCCACATCACACCAGGCATGGCCAGCTACAGTCAGGACTTGGTGAGTGCTGTGATGTCGCCCACTCAGCTGCACAGAAAATCCTCCTTTAATAAGTCTGAATCCATGCTAGTGACTCACAGGTTTAAGAAATGACAAGCATCAGTTTTAAAGCTTGCAGCTTCTATCAAAGAATGCTTTGAAATGTATAGGCGGTCTACATTAGAAAAACATTATACAATCTGTTTTTTTGTTTGTTTTTACTACATAATTTTTTGTAACAACAACAAAAAAAAATCTGTGTATAGATCTATGAAGAGTCAAGTAAGTAAACTATTAAGTAAATACAATAAAAATAAAACATTTTTACTTTTATAGATTTTAAAACGTAATTATTTTGATGGCAATGCTGAATTTTCTGCAAAATAGTCTTTCCTTATAAAATGTAAAGCTTCATGTGATTATAGGATAAGAGTTTTATATGTCTGGTAAAGTTTTACTCATGCATTACTCAAGCAATGAAACAGCAAAACATTAAAAAAATGATTTTAGGAATTAAGTGTTGAGATAATGATTATATTAGCTTGTAATTTTATATAAATTGATTCGGAATGCTTTTGCAATCTTTGTTTTAATAAATTGTTATTAGGGTCATGAAACCTCGCTCTTTCAGTTCAAGTCAAAGCAAGTCTAATCCTCAGTATTTTTTCAAAAAATGCTTCATGATTGGCGTGAAGTTCTGTGAGCAGAGAGAGGAGTGGGCATGGCTGGCGGAGCAGGGGAAAAAGAGGACAACGAACAACTGTCAGTTGGTTCGCAAAATGAGACACAAACTGTGAGGAGACTTATGATTTTATAGTTTACAAATCTTAAAAGTCTTAAAAAGTCTTAAATTTCAAAAACTAAATTTTAGGCCTTAAAAACGTTTAAATTCACTAAAATATTGTGTTGTAGGTCTTAAATCTTTTTAGTTTACCTCAGAATTAAATCTGACAGGTGCTAATGTCGTCTTAACTGATTCTCAATACTCCCCAATTAAGGTTTATAGTCTCAATTTAGCACACATGCAGTCAAACAATGCAATTCCAAATCAATCTGTATAAGATCACAAGCTAATGTAAGCATTATATTACATTGCATTATATGACTCGTTTATAAAATAAAATGACTATAGGTGGCTAAAATCCTTTATATTATATTGTCTATTTAACTAATAAAATAAAAGCAGATCATAGGGTGAAGAAATTAACACAGATAATTAGTATTAGTTTAAATATATTTCACCATAATCCATATGTTTCCAAATGACCTTATACAGCCAGGACATTTCCAGTAAACTGTCATTCTGTACTTGCTACATTTAAGATCAGCTTTGCTCACAAGCAATACACTGACCGATGAAGACAAAATTTAAATTGGTCACACACCAAATTAAAAGCACTGCTCTGTGCCATGCCACGTCTTTAAAAACAAGGACACAGTGTTATCTATACAGGTAGATGTGTGCTGAGTTACTGTGTCCCCATGACACTTGCAGTACATTTAAACGTCGTTCAGTCTCTTTTTGAGGTTGAAACGAATGCTTAGGTCTATTAAACAGACTACATTCAGATTATAGTATTACACTATCAATGCAGCTAAAGGAATCTCGTGAAATTGAAAATACATTCACACTAACCTTTCAATGGAAGATTCCCATTTGGCTTAAGAACATCGCATTGCATATGATCAATTGACATCTCGAAATGAATTCTACTCAAAGAGCCATTGGGTGTAATTTATAGCACGTTTTACAAAACACTATTTGTGTGTCTATTTACACAAATTCTAAAGACACTAATTGATCATCCTTTCCTAATTAGATAAATGTTGTCTCTAAATTCAACATTCACAAAGGTTAAGATGTCTGAGAAGCTCCAATCACCCTCGGTCGTGAGTTTTAACACAGCCGTCTCACTTAAAACGACCTTCATCTCCAATGGTTGTAAAAGCAATATTTGAGTCCTCTCTTTGAATGCGTGGTCTCTTTGTGCACCACCAGCCTGTCTCGGTGGCGTATGTGAGGCATCGGAGCCGGGCTGCGCTCTCTGCCAATGTTAAAGCCTCCATCACCTCGCGCTCACCCCTCGGCCTAGCAGAAACAGAGCGGCGTGCTTGCATTCAATCGGCAGAAAGGGTCAGGGATGTCTTGATAGAGAGTGATCAAGGCACCTGAACAGCCCAGATTAAATGCCTTCCTTGCATGCGCGAGTGTGTTTATGTTGTGAAGAAATGAGATTGCTTGGTTGTGACACGGAAGGCCCCTCTCATTCACCTCCTCCTTTTGTGCGAGGTCACCCGAGAGGCAGTTGCTACGGCAACAGGGCCTCTCCCAATGGGGGTGTATACACAAGCGAAGGTTTCATTACGAGGTGTTTGTTAAGAAAATGCTCCATTGCCCACGTGCGTCTCAATCTCATCTCTTTTCTCCTTCTTTTGCAGGAGCACATGTCGGTGGCTGAGGACGAGGACGAGGATGAAAAGGTATTCCGCCGGTGTCATGCCTGCTTTTTTGATTAACCGCTGACTTTTATAGAGCCTCTCCAGGCTGTCCTTGGGGTGCTGCATAGACGGACTGTGCGCTGTACCTTTAATACTGCATTTAACTCGGGACTGCAACTTAAATGTGTTCAAAACGAGGACAGACGATTCAGCAAGCACATTTTCCCTCCAGTACTTTCACACACGTCCTCTGGGAGTTCTCGCTCATACGACAAATGGATTTGGTTGCTTTGCTGTGGTCCTTTGAAACGCAGAAATAAGCACAGAACGGCATCATTAATTGAAGTTTGTCATCCGCTAGGGAATAGAGAAGCATTGTGAGGATTTCGAGGCATGCACGGCTAAATAGGGAGGCTGGACTGCAGTTGAACTTCCTCTTTTAGCATTTTTATTTATTTTTTTATGCTTAAGATGAATCATTAGACTAATTACAAATTCACCCAAATCTGCTTAGATCCAATTATTCATAAAATAAGAAAAGATAAATATTCAAAACACTGAGCTGGTATAGTTTCTTTGTTTGGTATGCATGGTCAAAATCTGAATGAATGCATTCATAATGAGGCATGGCAGACTCGTAATCATTTTAGTCTTCGCTGTCTGGTTCAGAGAACAACGGGTTAACAGGAAGATAATGCGTTATTGCTTTCTGACTTGGATGTGCGGAAGTGTGCAGTTCTGAGCCTCCAAGCGCTGACCCTTGCGCTGTACGGCTAGGGCCTAGGATTCATATCCATAATGTGCTCAATATATTCTGCTATGATGACCGCAGGCTAGCTTCATCTGTTGAGAGGAACCCCTCTGTTAAAAACAGCTCCCTCTTCCAAATCTTATCCAAGCCAAGCAGATAATTCACGGATGAAACGCATGATATGTGTGTGCAAGCACATTAGTTGACGCCCAGCAGCTAAACAATTGTAATATATCTTGGAGGGAGATATTTGTGGTCAAAAAATGAGAGGAAAAAAAAAAAAAACTACATGTGAGCCTTATAAATATGTGGATTGTGTTGAAATTAAGCTAATTCCATACAAATTATATCAGTTTATACTTGTATAACAATTTTATATGTATAAGTAGCTTTTTAGAAGTAAAAACTTGGTCCTTTCGGAATGCCTGCACAATTGTATTATTTATTTTTAATATTTAATTACGAGTTTTAAAAATTAACAGCATTTTTCCAGTGACATATAATGTTTTTACACCCTTCACGTCTTGTGTAAATTAAATATCTCCTTTCATTTATTTCATTACCCAGATGTCCATGTTTATTTTAAGTTGTCAGTTCTAATTTAAGGTGACTTGTTTCAAAGTCCTGTAATATTTTTTTTCACTTTGACTCCAGTATGACGCAGGCAGATCAAACAGTGTAGCTTTACACTTTGTATCAAAGTCATCGCTGCTAATGTTTTGGGGTTGGAGAATGATCGGTGTTAAATTTGATCACTTCAAAGGCCCCGTTTTTTCCGACTCTCTGGTTAACATGGGGATAAAGGCGGTCCCCTCTGAGGAGGTTACGATTACCACCCGTTTTTCTGTGTTTTCCCCCGGAGGAAGAGAATATGTAAACCTGCAGTTGAGCGGCACGGATGCGATGGAATTGAAGCTAAAGAAAGCTGATAGGAGAGACTGCGATACTGCAGAAATAATACACAACAGATCCTATAAGCTCAAGTTTGTCCTGAGGGGAAAGAGAGAAATTTACAAATCACATACCATAATGTAACTTTCCTTCGGCTTTCGGTATCAATTGTGTTAAGCACACATACGCTGGTTTAACTGCATCAGAAAACAAGATGAAAAAAGAAAAACAACCCTGGGGATATGTGTCCCAAATGACCTGGAGACCCTGTTCGGGCAAAGGGTCACCTAAAAGTACCATGCTTTAGCTAGACAGGCAAAGATCTGACCTTTTGCTTGCACAAAACCCTAGGGTAGCATCGGTGGTCTACAAATTCACAAGCCCCCTTTCCATCAACATATCACCTTCAGCTCATGCCAACAAGGATATAGTGTTTATGTCCTGAACATTGTGTATTCCAGAGTGCACAATCCTGTGACATATCCATTTGGGAACGCAGTGCTTGTTTGTACTGCGTTTGTCTGCTATAAAGAACCCATTTGCAGCACATTTTGCCAATAACGCAGGTGTTTTATTTAGGTGCGTTTCTCTGGTTATTCCGTTGTGGAATAAGTGAGTTGCGAATATTTGCACCAGCTTTGAATGAATATTCAAATTTGATGCCATTTACCCAATTAAAGGAATGTTAAATGAACCCTGCCTTGCAGTATTTTGATTGTGCTACGTGTCCCTGTGAAACAGCATTTTCTGTTTGCCTTAGTGCAATCTGTTCCCTATTAAGCAAACATAAAAGTTATTTGACAATTTCATCAGAATTGAGAATATGATCTGACACAGGTTTTTTAATCAGTAGACGTGTTGCCAAAATTAGTTGTAAGGATGTTTGACTAAACTGGGGTTCAGGGAGAAGAATCAGAATAGTTCTCATAGGCAATCCAAAGCAAACCTGGAACAAGCGTCATCGCAGATAAAGTGTGACCCAAAAACAGTTTTTTGGACACTTACAACTGTCGTTTAGTAACAAAATGTGGAAATTAGTCATATCTGTAACAAAACAAAAACAATTTAAAAGGTTTATTGAACTTAAAAATTTGAAACATCTTTATATATTTTTATTATATGTTATATATAGACCATTTTGAGGAATGGAAACAAAAACACTAGTCCCGACCGAGACTTGACATTAACTTTTTGACAACCAGTCACTGTGACTAGTAGATTTCCAACATTACCAGCCAATCGCCATTTTTACTAGCCACACATTTGTTGTTGGGGAAAAAAAATATATATATATAATTTTTGCATAATTTGATAACACCAATCATCCTATTTTAATATGATTAAGATAATACTCTGATTAAGAGTCTAACATGTGAACAATGATTTTTGATTACCTAAATCCAACTAAAGCCATAATCAAGCTAAACAGAAATTTAATTAAGACAGGCGGAGTACAAGATTATAATCATACGTTAAGTACAGACATGTAAACACTTTAATCAAACTATTAGCGTCGTGTATGACTTTTTGCCGCTTTTTGCAACAAGATATTTCGTACACACACAGCTATTTGACACTATTCTCTACACCTACCGAGTCAGAAAGGACCACAGACACCTGCAAGGTGAAATCCAGTAAGCTTTTTTCCTTCCATTGTGCAGAATCAAATTCCATTAAAACAACACTCCTCCACCAGTCCTCACTTCAAACTCGCATTCAATACCCCAGTTTGTCACGCGGGCATGAATGAAATGTTCCTGAAAGAAAGTGAAACTGCCAAACTGCAGTTAAAGTTGAAAAATTAAAAATGAAACACTTGAAATTACATGAGGGCTGCACGGTGGCACAGTGGGTAGCATTTTCGCCTCACAGAAGGTTGCTGGTTCAAGCCTCTGTTGGGTCAGTCTGCGTTTCTGTGTTGAGTTTGCATATTCTCCCTTGGTTCAGGGAGAACATGCAATGTGTAATGAAACTACATGAAACGTGGATAGCGTGGTGACGCAATGACGTTAATCTAACTATGTGCTAAAACATGTAAAACGGGATCATAAAATAAACATTCAAATAGCAACTCATATAAACACTTTATCATATAATTGTCATATTAAGATTATGTAATGAAGTTTGCCCTGTGTTCTCGCGGTCTTAAAAACTTATTTGGTGAGTCAGATTAAGGGAAATAATTTGACCAATGGTGTCCATGTAAATGTAGTCATTGATGTGAATGGTCACTTGACGCTGTATGTCACTGGTAGTGTGAATAAGGCTTTACTTTCTTAGCTGTGTTGGATCTGGTATGGACAGTACAAAAGTACAAAAATCACTGTCATTTTATCAGTTTGCATATGAACACAGTGGTCCCAACTACTTTAAATGGACAGTAGCTACAGTCATCGGCTGTTTTACATTTATCAGTAGATCTTATATAATTTGACTTGACTTTAAGCAGTTCTCTAGGCTTGCGAGATCGGTAAAGTGACATTTTAATCCGTTTCTTCAGAATAAATTTAACTTCCCAATGTATAATATGTGACTTAAGTGTTAGCATATTTTTAGGGAGCACTGCGAGTTCATTTTTCTTGTGGTTGGTGGAGGATCATGCTGTTCATTAAGCAAAGAAACACTTTAGACATTTGAGCCCATATCAAACACAGTTGATACACCGAAAGAATAAATCTTCTTCTGCACTTTATCCTCCTTTGACACTTCCCTCACAAAGCCGGGATTTGAAAAGACTCATAACAGGAGGCATGTTGATTCTCTCTTGATTGATATCCTAGTCTCTATGTTAGGACATGCTGTGTGCCGCTGGAGTAGACGGGGCTGTGCTGAGTGGAAGCATGACTGGCTTCCTATGGTTTCCTGTGTCTGGGGCCGAATGGAGAGTGACAGTGGGGAATCTGGGCTGAGCTTTCCCAGGGGTCGTCGATCCGGGTCCGCCGTCTTACGCAAACATATACAGTGCTCCATCACATGTTTGTCTTTCTCAGCACCCCACCCCCACCCCCCGCTACTCTCAGTCATTACTCCTGTCATTATTATTTCCTGCGTTTGATGTTTCTCTCTTTCTTCTCATCCTCCTTTTGGAGAACTATACTCATGGGCTCTTATGCTGGAGGAATCTCTGATGTGATCATGTTGCTTTGGACGTTAGATTACCCTAGCAATCTTCTTTAAGTAAAATGGAATAGAATTTCTCTCTTTTTTCCCCCATTGAAAGTCCATTTAGCCCATGTCTCTGAATTACAGCGCAACCCAATACTGTGTGATGCATCAAATACAAAAAGACAATGGGATTTCCCATCCCTCTTACAAGAAGTAAAAACATTGCTTTGTATAACCGGATTACGCACAGACATAGCAATCTTTCTCCCATGAGCTGGGATTCAGAAAACGCTAAATCCAATGAATTCAACCCTGCACTCAATCTTGCCATAAGGTGGGCAACTCTTAGCTTCCATACGCCAAGAACTGGTACTCGAAAAAGCTCGCACCCCCAGGAAACAAGCCAAGACTTGCCCGGCGGAGACTTGCGGATTAGACGACCTCGAGAGTTGGCGTCTTATGCCGTCTGTGTTCTCCAACTCCCAAGTTCCTCTCTCTCTCTTTCTCTCTCTGTATGCTTTTCTGATTGCCATTTTTACATCTTTTTTCCCTCCTCCGCTTAATCTTTGATTGTGATGCACCTTTATTGTTTGCGCCTGACAAATGCTGAAATACTCCCAGATCGGTGACAGCTCTGGAGGAGAGGCTGACACATTTTCACGTCTGAGGAGATGTTACAGAAGCTCATTACAGGCCATTGACTAGATGAAATACTGGTGATGGCACTCTGGAAATAAACTGCTCTTCCTTTGTCGGCTTCTAGCAGCTGACTTCCCTCATCAGTCTCTGTCTTTTTTCCCCCCCCTTTCTCTCTAGGAATCAGAGAAAAGAGGACTGATGGAAAAAATCCACATGGTTCAAGAAATTGTGCTTACAGTTCAGAGCACTTTAGATGAAGTGGCTTGCATTGGGGAAAGAGTGAAAAAGTAAGAATTGAGCATTTTATACCTCTTCTGAAGTGCGCGTATGCAATTGTGCTCTGAAGTGTACATATATTCTACGTATGTAGAGACTTTTGTTGAATAGCTTCATCATTAGAAAGAGTAATGCTAAGGTTCTCTTTAATTAAAAAATAAGACTTTTATGTTATACCCAGGGGCAGACTTAACAAATAAGCAAGGTAAGCAGCCGCTTAGGGCACCCGGGATTTATGGGTAACCCATCAAAGCCAAGAAGCCTAATAATATAGCTCTTTTATAAATTGTCTATTATAAGCTGTCAAATATTTCTATAACCATTAAGATTTTAATGTTATTACTTCTTTTCAAAACCAGGGGCCCTTAGAATTGGTGGAACATTCTTTTCGTACTGCACATGCCAATATTAAAATCTAATCACAAATATGGCTAACTAACTGTACATAGTTTGTGAACTTATTGTTTATTATTTGTGAATTTATTGTTTTTAATTTTACATTAAGAAGATAAAGGTTTCACCTAAAATATACTTTACATGCAGTCCTACAGAGAAAAAATATCTATAGAGAAAGAGAATGTTTTGAGTTTCAATGCTAGGAATACCTGGGGTCCATTCTATCAGTAAACATCAGTAAAATTATCTAAGATGATTTAGCAGATCCTGGATCTTTTAATCTTGATAACTAATTTCTGGGTTTATTGGTTTTTCAAACAAGTTTGTGAATCAGAATAAAATATCTGGATGAACTGATCTGAGATCACTGCATGTGTTGTGAAGATCTATCGATCCACGAAATCCTGAACAGCAATGTAATGATTGGCTAAATATGATGATACACAATAACTTTACACATTTAGTGTGGCCTTTACACTTTCATGTGCCAGGAATATTTAGCAATTTATTTAGTTTTACATTTAGAGTGGATTGTCTTTATAATAATAGTCAAGGCCTATTTTAGTTTCTTAATCAGCCCAAGGAATAACTGGCTGTTTAAATAAATTTTGCATCAAAAAGGAATTTTGATATCGGTAAAAGTGTCTGCAACTTTTGCGAAGCATCAAATCATCGCCATATTACTGGCCAAAACATGTGCATGACTGCATAAATTATTATTCCTTTTATTCGATTATTACTTATTCTTGTTGAATATTTTGCACGTCTAGTATCATACACAAATTGTACTAAAGCTGGTACCTTAAAATAATATGTGTTTGTATCTAAAAAGTCCATATTAATAAATGTTCTTTTTGAAGAATTTTTGAAGATTTAAGAGGAGAGCCACCCTGTGACCTTCTTCGTACTTTTATCTTTTCCAAGTGTATAAAACTACTACTGTAAGAAAATATCAGCATTCGGTAAATACTGTATTAAATATAAAATAGTGTTTGCTTGAAAAGATCTAATACTGTTTCTATGGAATAAGCCTGCTCTCGAGCTACAAGGGGTCAGTTCTTCGTTCGTTGATTACTCAATTAGCCAATAGTATCTGGATTTGATTATTAATGAATTGACATGATCCAGAACGATTTCGTTCTTCAAAACTCATCCGAGTGTTGTCCTAGTAACAGTTCTGGTAGCTCAAACCTGCTCGGGAGCATTCTTATTTCATATAAACAGGATTAGGTTGGGCCATATCAAGCTAATACTGAAAGTATTGATACTGAAGTATTACTAAAAGTATGTACTGAATGCTGATATTTTCTTACAGTAGTAACCAGGTTATATACACATTCTGGAAAATGGTAAAATAGTTAAAAAATAAATTGTATATATACATTTATAATTTATAATAATTAATAATATTTAATATTAATAATTTAATAATATTTATGTTTTTATACATACAAGTTTTAAAATATATACAAAATAAAACTTAAACAATCTGCACTTTGAAATAAAAATACAAAATAGGGTGTTCTCCCCAAGGGGATCAAAGAGAACATTTATTTATATCGACTTTTTAGATACAAATGCATACTATTTTAAGGTACTGACCCAGCTTTACAATTTGTGTATGTTACTAGACATGCATAAAATTCACTCTTTTTTATTTGTTTGTTTTATAAAGGAATAATAATTTATGAAGTCATGCACGCGTTTTAGTTCATCCTGACATTTTAATCTGATTCGAGACCTTGTTTGAAGAACCATATTAGCCAGAGATCAGTTATCAAGTTTAACAGATCCAGGATCTGCCAAATCATCTTAGATCATTTAAGCAAGGTACGAAGAATGGACCCCAGAACTGTTGCTATGACAACAACACTCCAATGGGTTTTAAAGAACGAAACGATCCTAGATCGTGTCAAATAGTCAATAACTAAATCCAGCTAACTGAGTAATCCATGTTTGAAGAACAGACCCCTGGAATTGCTTAGGGCCCCCAAATCACGAAGTCCGCCCCTGATTATACCTAATGTTATGTGGATAATACAATCATATAATAAAATCGGAATTTAGCGATAACTTGGTGCTGGTATACCAAAAGACCATAAATTTTTTGATGGTAAATTATATCTTAGTGTATGATTTATGTAAGAATATGTCCTTGATTGATCGAATTGGCTATTGTGTTGGTGTTGGTGTGGAGAGACCACCCTCATGATTGTAAAGTGCTTTATGTTTATGACCATACACAATAAATGCGCTTTAAATACACATTACATTACATTGAATACTGCAATTTCAAAAAAAAAAAAAAAAAAAAAAACTTCCCACATTTTGGTGATTCATTTACACATTTAACAAACTTAAATAGATTTCATGTGCAAGATTTTGTTTTTAAAAAGTGTCATCTAGTGTCTCTTTACAAGCAACTGTTCTAAATTCTGGCCTGACTTGCATAATAGATGACAATGTTTTTCATAGAAACATCTCCAAAACACAAAGAAAAATGCTTTTAGTGCATTGTTTTGCATAACTGTACCTACAACTCTTAAATATTGTATTTTTGCACTTCCTAACTTGGAAGCCTACTCATTTTGTGCTTACTTATGCGTTTCTAAAATAAATATTAATAATGTGATTAAACCACTGTCCAATCACTCATGAATATTGCTTTATTCTACTATATTTGTTACATATTTAATCTAATCATCTTAAAATGTTGTCACTTCCATTTATATTTTTATTACAAACCCACATATAAGTTCATAAATAAATGTTATATATGAACAAGTCAAATCTAACATACATGAATGTATAATTTACGCATGCAAATGAATGTCTCCATCAACAGTACATTCAACTGGTCAGTCCCGTTCTTGTCATTGTTGGCCTGCCTGGTGCTGCTTGTGGCGACTGTCGGCTTGTACTACATCCCGCTGCGCTACATAGTTTTACTGTGGGGTAAGTAAGTGAGGCACCATGTGTAGCACTTTCACCCAGTGCTTCGTGACACTCCAGTGCTGCTGTTAAGCTGTCTCCACTTTCCTTTAAATGGAAGTCATGCCGAGGTGTTTTAGAAAGAGTCACACTTTACTGTCTCTGAGCTTTGAGCTCCAACTCCTTTACTGACGCCTGACGAAAGCCATTTAAAAAGTGATCCATTTTCATAACTCTACCTGTGACAGCTGATCAGAATCATGAACATAATCCTCTGCTGGTTAGGCAGAGCAGCTGCAGCACTGCTGACTGAGGCGCTGCAATATTATCAAACTTTGATGAATGGACAGTAGAGAGAAGGCATTATTCTCTCATGTTAATACCTTTACTGTCAATTACAGCTTTCATAGAGACTGTTAAATGACTACTTTTGACTACTGTTTAATAAAACAAAAATCACATATTACCGTAAATGGTTTTCCAAACAAATATTTTTTATACAGTATATGGCCATCAAAAATGCTACTCATCACCAAATATGCTGTCCTTTGTTGTCTGTTCCTATAAAAATTCTTCACGACATACTGAAAAATATCGAATAAATATTTATAAATTGAACAATTATTATTAAATCACTATACAGTACTTTTTTGAAATAAATGAATAAGGTAGTGGGTGATTGAAATGGAATGGTTTACCAAAACATCCATATTGTCGGGATACATATTAATAAATAATAATTATGATTAAATAAATAATTATAAATAAATGATTAATAAAATATGGTTATCTGCATAAACTTTCTACTAGGGCTGGGGATAATTAAAAAAAAAAAAAATCGGATATCATGTTTCATATCATTTGCTATCAATAATTATTGGATATTTTTAACCACTTTATTTTTATTCACCAACATTACTATGGCAAATAGTTTTAATAGTCAAGAACTAAAATATTTAAACAAAATATCTGATATTTTTATAATACAATATACATAAGTGTTAAAAAGAGTCTTTAACTTGATAAATAAAATGTTACAAAGTGTGTGCAATGGTAAAGCATAATTACTGAACAATCAAAGCAAACTATATGGTGTGAATTACAATGATACAGTAAGCCTCAAACTCTGTCAACAAAACCAATTATAATGAAATCTGAGCTTTCAAGAAAAGAAGCCAGACCATCGTAATTTCAAATACGTATTGCATCAATTACAAACTGTGAAGTTTGATGACTACATTACCGCTATGCTAAAAAAATCTTTCAGATGGGGAGCTAGTGGCTGGGATGCACAAGAAAAGAAACCAAAAAGCCACTCTGGCGACATTCTTTCATCCTCTTTTATTTACAATCTGTTTACTGCTGCTATATGGCACTCATTTTCGCACATGTTGATAGTCTGACCTGAAATGACAAGCATGAGAGCATAAATTCCCACACCATTTTCAGTATGTTTTGCGCCCGCTCTTCCCTGGCGTCTCTCGTAACTACACAACCATCATCTGTTTAATCAGAAGATGACAAATGGACAAACCATTGCTGTAGCTCCGATACAAGTATATGGAGAAGAGTAAAAAGCACTACAATGTTTGGATGCAATGTGTTTTGAGGTAATTAGTCTAAAATTTTTACTGAAACATGTCTATTCCATACAAAGTGTGAAGCAGATTTGTTCAATCTACTTCCATGAATTGTGGTGCATTTTAAAAAAACTATAGTGCTTCATACTGAAACTCAAACTATATATATATACATATATATTTTTTTTCACCAATATTGACAATAGCTATGTTTTCATCCATCTATTTTTGTGCATAAATGGGCATAAAAAAATGGTTGATAGAAATGCCATGATGCGCATACATTTTGAAAATGTGCATAAAAAAACTTGCACATAACTGAGTTGGATAAACTTTTTATTTGATAAGAAAAGATGTGCATAAACTACGATGGAAACACTTTTACTGCATGAATTTCAAAATGTGCTTTAAAAAAGGTCATGTGATTCTGTTAAACGATATCATGTGATGATGAAAATGTGTGTAAATGGACAAACCAGCAGGCTGAGCACATCGAAACCCTCTGAACTGTTGGTTTGTTCATTCTAAAACATTCTTTCTTTATGTATTAGTGTCGTTATTAATGACCTGCAGAATCAAAAGCATCTGTCTGACACCTTCAAACGCCACCGCATGTTCACTGCATGTCAGGATTGTCTTCTGAGGCGCAAGTCATTTATTAGATAAAGAAAAACTTCTCCTACTGCACCAAATTCAATTTTTACTGTTGATATTTTGCGCCAGTTAATAAGGAAGTGATGATTTTGTTTGCTTGGACTCGTTGGATGGAAACACTGCTTTATTCACATTTCTTTTTTGCGATATCAGTTTTGCGCAGAAATATCATTCAGAATTTTTGAATGGAAACATAGCTAGTGGTGTCTGGTAAATAAATACTGAGACCAATTTTATCACCCAGCACTAGTTTGTAGATTTAAAAGTGTGAGGCCTGTAAAAAAAACAACAAAAAACATTTTTATTAACATTTTCTGTTTTAATATGTAAAAATATAAATTTACAATAAAACATTCTGTTAAAGGTTAACTCTCATTTTTTAATAAGTTTAATGTGTCCTTAATGGACTTACATCTTTATTACATAGAACTACTGTACAACTCAAATACAAAAGTCGTGTGAACCTTACTGGCCATAAACTTTAGACAACATCTAATTTATTGATGTGCATTTCTAATCATAGAGCAGATAAAGTGACAAATATTTGTCGAGGATTGTTTTGTCAATAAGAGCCTGCAGGTGCAGCAGATAACTTTATTTATTAATGCACGCTTGTTTTCACAGGTGTTAACAAATTTACCAAGAAGCTTTTCAACCCATATGCCATTGACAATAATGAAATGCTGGATTTCCTCAAGAGGGTGCCTTCTGATGTTCAAAAGGTAAGGGTCCAGTTTTACATTTAGAGAGAGAGAGAGGGAGAGGGAGAGAGGGACGTAGACAAGGAAGGAATTCCCTGAAGATGTCTGCATTATTTGCTCTAACAGAATTCCCAAGTGTTAGCCAGGATATTTCCTCTGGCTGTGTTTGATTATTAATGGACTCGCGCCTTTAAAGACGGCCCCCGGCCCAATTATTTCCCAGCATGTCTTGATGGAGTCACCCGGCTGCCTGGATGGGGTCTGCTCTGATCTCTCCTCGGCCGTAACGCTTCAGCCTTGTCCCTGATTATCAGTTTTGTCGGCCTGTGATAAAAGAAGGGTGCTGTCGAGGGTTCAGGGATTGGCTAAGGGGTCGGTGTCTGCACACTGGCAGTGTGGCGGCCCCCGTCACATCAGGTTGGAGGACTCGATTAATGAAGTGTTGAGCCAACGCCATCCTGCTGGGCACCATATGTGATGAAACATTATCCATGGCTGATATGTCATTCGGGGTTACATCATAAGCCTGTGGATGGGGAGCCAAGCGCTGAGAGTATTGCTCCGTATTTCGGACCCTGAGTGAGATTCTGAAAGGCCATACAAAGCGGGTCCCTGCTGTCAGAAAGTGTTTTGCGCGGGACACTTCTCTCCATCATGAAGGCTCTTTTAATGGTTGTCAGAGCGTCCTGTCCTGCTCAGATACTGGAGAGCTTGAGTGATTGGCTCAGACGAACCTCCTGGTATGAACCTCTGCAACTTTACGTTAACATATGTCTGTGTGGTTGGATGAAGCCAGCATGACACACTGGTTTTGGCATGTGGAAGCAGCAAGTTGGCAAAACAAGATGGAAACCATTGCTGAGTTTTTAAGCCTTTTGAAGTATGTTTTCGTGGTTGGATGAACTGCCTGCTGTTCATTTAAATGGGAAGACAGAATGATCTTTTGCAAAAAAAAAAATTAAATAAATAAGAGGCAGCACTTTTTAAACAACAAGATGCCAATAAAACAGAACAGTGGTCATTAACCGTACCAGTAAAGACCAAAAAGGTATGCAAATCCATGCTGTCCCTGTCAAGCTTACCGTGTCCGAAACCTTCATGCTAAAAACGGACTGACCAAATAAGCAGCAAGTTACAAAAGCTCAAATTGACTCCTGTCTCACGGTTCCGAAAATGACTTGGCAATTAGTGCCTGTGCAGTTCTTCAAACGCAAACCCTCAAAACTGGACTTCATACAGCGGCCCTCTGTCCTAAAATAAGCAGCATCTGTCAGTTCTGAGGACAGTTTCATGTTCTGAGGCTGCCGCTTCTCTTTGTTCCCTTGTGCTCCATCTCCCATTCTCATAATCAGGGCCTGGTAATTAGTGTGCAGTCCCTACCTTACAGATACACCTCCAGGTTATTGTTTCCAGGAGAAACAAACAAGAAAAAGCATTTGGACGCATTTTCCATGCTTTCGAGTCCCATCAGCTTCATGCCGTATTTAATTATTTGTCGATGCTGTACTGCTTTTGGACTTAACGGTGGCCTTGGACAAGAGAGGATGCCTTTAAAGCCATTTTCAGAGACTGATGTTGCTCTTAGCTGTGAAAGAAAAATCAAAGGCAATGTTTTGGTGCTTATTGGGACCCAGGTTTTGAGTAGTGGTTGACCAATTTATTATAAATAACTAGTGTTGGGGAGGCTACGTGTAATAAGTAGTGTTACTTTTCAATTACTTTATAAAAGTAAAATAACACATTACATCTGATTACTTTTTGATTACTTTTAAGTTTCTATTTGACATTTTCAACTAAACAATTTTTAAGCATTCATATCAAGCAGGTGTGACCTTACAGTAGCACCCTGTTTACTAGTAAAATTTTAAAATCTTTCATCACTTAAATTAAGATAATATTTATATAATATTAAAGTACAGCCACAACAAAACCAGACCTTATAACATAAACAATGTTTAGTGTTGTTACAAAATCAAAAATTTGCATATTGTAACTCTTCATTAATAAATTACACTACATAATGGAGTATTATTAATAACTATCATGAACTAATAGTAATAACCATAGTATACTTCAGCCTTTACTACAGTAAACTATATATAGACCTCCTCTCCCTGTCATCTTTCCATCAAGCAAATTTCACTTGTTAGCCTAACTGGTTGGTGACGTCACCGACCAGAGCGAGAGGTGGCAGTAATGCACCAAAACGTTTGTTGTCGACCACCGTAAAACAGGTAGAAGAAGAAGAAATCGTCATTCTCGCCATCATACGGATTTACCTTCATCGGCTAGACACTGGCCTCACAGCTCTGTGAATGTTGGTGCCGTCACTTATTGATCCGCGATCAGGAAATGTAGCTTGTGTGGATGCTACTGCGCTACTTGACTAATAAAATAGCTTTGCTACTGAAAAATTAAGTATATAAAGTAAATAAAGTATATATATATATATATATATATATATATATATATATATATATATATATATATATATATATATATATATATATATATAAGTATAATAAAGTTTTATAAAGTAGCGACACTACCACCACGCTACTGAGAACTGCAGTTAAGCTAGTAGCATCACTACTTGTAGCGATGCTACTGCTCAACACTGTTAATGTGATCAAATTGCTTTGGCCAGAGGAGTCTGGTGCCCTGAATTTTTACAAATCGATAACTTTGTAAGTCATATTATATTCTTCGAAATGAAAGGGTGTGGTTTTATTTCTGTACACTCACGATAAAGACAAAAACCATTTGCTTTTATAAAATAAAGAAAGGCTAGTTTACATACCTGCAAAGCTTCCTCGGGTTCGACATTGAACCCTTTGATTTGGAAAGTATTGTAACACCTGTCAAACAAATTTTTCACTGAACTTTTATATGTGTGCCTTTGTCGAATTTCGTGGTGAAATCATTTTTAATTTTCCAGCAATGAAATGCATTTTTATCACTCGCCATGGTGGCAGCTTGCAGACTGGTTGTAGTAGCCTAATGCATTTAGCGGCAAAGAGGATTAACATAATTGGTAGAATTATGAAACCAGAAAACCAGTCAAAAGCATTAGAATAGCACCGCTTTAATAAATGGCCTTAGCTGAAGGCATTGTGCATATCAAAAACAGGCAAAGCAACAGATTGATATTACTCAACATATCCTAGATTTTCTAAGACAATTTTAAGATGTAACCCATTTTTAATCTTTTATATTTTCATAAGTAACTGTAATTTTATTACACATTTTTTTTCTCAGTAACTGTAACGAATTACTGTTACATTTATTTTGTAATTAAATTACGTAACGCTATTACATGTACCTAGTTCCTTCCCAACACTATATATAACCAATAATTATCAATGAATATATATGATTTGAAAAAAGTTCTAGATTAAATTATATGTATTTAAAATTATATTAGGGTGACGCAGTGGTGCAGTAGGTAGTGCTGTTGCCTCATTACAAGACAGTCGCTGTTTCAAGCCTCGGTTGGGTCAGTGGGCGTTTCTGTGTGGCGTTTGCATGTCCTCTCCGGTTTCCCTCACAGCTCAAAGACATGCAGTACATGAATAAGATAAGCTAATTTGTCCGTAAGGCGACGCATTGACGCAGTAGGTAGTGCTGTAGCCTCACAACAAGGTCGCCGGTTCGAGTCTTGACTGGGTCAGTTGGCGTTTCGGTGTGGAGTTTGCATGTTCTCCCTGTATTAGCGTGGGTTTCCTCTGGGTGCTTTGGTTTCCCCCACAGTACAAAGACATGCAGTATAGGTGAATTGGGTAGGCTAAATTATCCGTAGTGTATGACTGTGAATGAGACTGTGTGGATGTTTTCCAGAGATGGGTCGCAGCTGGAAGGGCATCTGCTGCGTAAAACATATGCTGGATTAGTTGGCGGTTCATTCCGCTGTGGCCCAGATTAATAAAGAGACTAAGCCGAAAATAAAATAAATGAATGAATAATATATTTTAAAAAGTTAGATGAATCAATCCAGCATTTTAGACATTTTTTTCTGTGAATTTTTTAAATCATATAATTAGTAATCAAATGAATGCATGCAAGAAGTACAATAACTCCATTTATGTTTAAATACGTTTAGTTGTGGTATATTAGTAGTATGTGAATCCACGGTGAGCTCCAGGGAAAATCTTTATTCAGTTTCTCATACCTCAGTGAAACTCTACTTTCATCATGCCGACCTTCACCTCTGACACGAGTTCACTCCCCGCTTTAAGTAAAGTAAACAGCATGTTCATCTGAAACGGGGGAAGTGTGTGATCATCTGTAACCGCAATGCCCCAGCCGGAGCCGTGCAGGCACTTACTCCTGCCTACAAGCTGCTATAATTAGTCTCCAACAAACTTTTCTCAGGAAGGACACAACTCGCAACTCCTGGGTTTGCATGGACCTAAGACAGTGGGTCTGCTCGAGCGGTATAGTTCCCATATAGGTGGGGGTGGTGTAGTCACCGCTGTGTCGGTACGGAACCCTTGACTTTTCAAATCTTTCCTCCTTGTGATTAATCCCCTCTGCTCCTGTGTTTAAAAAATGATTCATTACAGCCGCGCCCGCCTGGCTTTCCCCCTGCACCGGCTCTCCTCAGGGGAGCCATTACCGTGAGCGGGCCTCAGCTCCGATTACCTGCGTCTGACCAAAGAGCTGTTTGTTTTTACAGGTGCAGTACAGCGAGCTGAGAGCCGAGCTTGGCAACCAGGGCCCGGTGAAGAAGAAACGCGGGCGCTGAAACCTGACGGACATGTCGGATGAAAGGAACGGACAGCGTTTGGAGAGACAGTCTGTTTAAGTCATAATGCCCTGTGCGAGTTAAAGAGTAGTCCCCTTGTGCCAAGCCATCCGCATTTCCACTGAAATGCATTCATCGGTACTGTGTGTGTGTGTGTGTGTGTGTGTGTGTGTGTGTGTGTGTGTACAAGTGTGTAAGCGTAGCCTCTCTTGACGGGCCCTTTGGCCCTCGCAAACTCACAGTGTCTCAACATATGAAGGTAAAGTCAGGCTTCACCAGCCTCTGCATGTAATCATGCTGAAATGCAATGAAATACCACACTGCCACGCACATTCATACATCCTTTCAGAAACCACAGTCTGGTTCATTTAGCAAATGAAGAACTAAATATCTACAAAACATACAGCGCATAAATGCTTCCTATTGCGTATTTCTACAGCAGGGAACATTTAAATGAGGGTACCATTTTATTAAACAAATATTAAGCTCTTTTTAAACGCCATTTAACATTTACATGCATATATAGCCCACTGTGATGTATGCAGTCTGTTTGGTTCATGCATCTTCCATGTTTTGTATATTTAAGCTGCGGATAAAGCTAAAATCACTAAAAGTTTGACTTCTTAAATGTGTTTTTCTTCTCTCGCATCCTTAAAGCTGCATTATTTGCCAAAGATACACAGGATTATTACCCGGCCCACACTTCAGAAGAGGATGCTGGTCACCGCTGGAGGAAAACATCAAAGTCTGTGTGTGTCCAGAGCAGTCAGCTAATGCACCGCTTTTGTAGTTCGCTGACAATAACAAGGTCCAGATGAGAGAGCTCATCTCTCATAAAGAGGGAGGGAGATTGAGAGAGAGAGAGAGAGAGAGAGAGAGAATACACACTCCATACCCGCACTTAGCGTCTCCCATTTTCATTAAAATCACCTCCAGTTCCTAATGGCTCTCTACTAGACCCATCACTCTGTAGTGTTAGCACCAGTGATGGGGCTTCAAGTACAGCAAATGGAGATTTCCTGCCTCATCAACTTATTTATTCATATTACAGACATATTCCAGCCTCTCCGCTATCAGAATCATTTTTTATAGAAAGCAACATTTCCAAAGTGGCGGGTCTTGAACGTGAGCATTCAAAGAGTTGATTTGAAATTAATATTAACAGATCATTAACGTATAAAGTTAACAGCGAACGCTGTATTCATTTACACCCATTAAAAGTGCTGATATACTTTTTTTTCAGTGCTTAAGTTTTGTCCTTCGACAGCTGTATCGGTGCGAGCAGGGAAAAGTTTCTTTCAAAGAAATGTAAAACCGAAGAGAAAGAAGAAACTTCCTCAGATGTCGTTCGCTCGCCTGCTCTTCCTCAATAATTTAGCGAGCGAGGTAAATAACGGAGCGGACGCTTTGTAAAAATAGCCATAGCCATACTGATGAGCCCTAGACCCCAGCTCAGGGAGTTTGTTCAGACTGATTGGAGCTCCTCTCCGCATCCTAGCCTGCCCCCCTCCGTCTCTCCCTCCTCTGCAGTTTGGTGTGCTGGTGAAAGAGCATCGGCTGGTGCAGCGTGAAGAGTTTGATTGGCTCTCAGGGACCTGCTGGAGCCCCGGGCTATCTCTTTTGACAGTCTGATAGAGACATCACGGCACTCTCCCAGGAGCTGCCACCGGGGGTCCGATTCAAAGCGAGGGGGAGTGGAGGTGACCCGCGACGCTCTGACGAGAAAAATCCCACACACAAACTCCTGCACCGACACCGCTGGGGGGCCGTGAGGAGGGGAGGGCCAGTGTCCCTTAGCTCAGTAAATGAGACCCCATCAGATGTCTGCGTGAGGTGAAACCAATTAAACAATGCTTGCAGGAAAGCTGCAGTCGTCGGGTTAGCACCAAAACTTGAAAGCGAGCCTTTAAGTGGATGTGAAGTGTTTGTGCTGGAGGAGAGCAGTGGTCTTCAAAAATTCAAGACCAGCTCCAAAACATGGATGAAGTAAGAGGCTGCCGATTGGAATCTCTCGTAAAAAGAGGACCGCTGCAGAGCTTGTGTTGACAAGTGTTTTTGGGTAAACTGCCTAGATGAAAATCTTAGCACTTTTTTTGTCCAATTGTGGACATGAATAAATGATAAATAATGCACAAAATTCTCTAATACTGAGCTGTTATATCAACTGTGATTTTTTTTTAGGTGTTTCAGTGGGGGGAAAAGTCATGTTATTGCATGACATGTGGCGTGATTAATAAATTCAGTTAACCTTTATTTTTAATAAGCAAAGTTAAAATATATAATAATCCATTTAGGAATGCCCAGATCTAATCACGTGATCGGAAATCAGGCTTGATCACGTGGTTTCAGACTCGATCAGAATCGGATGATACCTCCCGATCAGGACTAGAATATATATATTTCTTGACTTCACACAGAAACAGCAACACGAGTGGCATGATATCACTTTGTTGCAGAGACGCTATTGGTTAAGTGCTTGAAAAGTAGAACACGGAAGCAGCTTGAAGCGGAAAGCACAAGTATGTCAGGAGTAATTATAAAGTTGATGACAACATTGCCCTTGCAAACAGTGAGATGTGTAAACTTGAGATTGCAAGAAGTGGAAAGGAAAAGGCTACATTTAACACAACAAACCTGATAAGGCACCTTAAAAACAAACATTCGACACAATACAGGTAGTTTACCCACGCAACCCAACCGAACACGAATTAAATAAAAATCAAGTAACATCCTGGATCTGTTTCGTCACTCATCTTTATCTTTATTTAAATTTTTATTATTTTTTTTGTAATATAGAAGTATCGGATTGGGTTTCAGTATCGGTATACTCAAACTCAAATGCTCCGAATCCAGGACAAAAAAAAAAAAAAAACAGATTATCACTTTTCTAATTCCATTTCACTTGGAAAGTGTCACAATTAATAATGTTGGTAGCATCTTCAAATTTGCAGACTTCAAGAATTATTTGTCCTAATAAACTTTAGGTTCACTGAAGAAAAAATAAACAAACAAGAATAATTGCTGTTTGTTAATTAAAAGAGTATCCATACACATGTACACAAATGGTGGGATTGTATGAAATGTATGGAGAAACCAATATAATTTATTTAAAAATACATACTATTTATATATAGATAGTATGAAAGAACTGCATCATTCCCTAATGTTTTTCCCTACGTTTATTTTTTCTTGTATAACAATTTCAGCACTTGTACAGTAAAATAGCAAGTGATCGAGGACAATGGAGACAGTAGATAAAAGAATCATTTCCCCCTCTCCTTCTGTGTTGTCTAATAAACAAAATCATGTTATCAGTTTGCCTGGGTCTCCAGGGATTGAAACCTCAACTCTCCAAAGATTACTAAACTGGCAATATGGTCCCTAAATACATTTCTCGTATGTTCCCCAAACTCACTAATGAACATCTCATCCACACAGCAGTTAACACTGCTTGCATCATTCTCTCTCTCTCTTTTTCTCCTTCAATAGTTGTTGTTTTGCTCGCTATGAAGCTGATGTCTTCATCAGGCTGTCAGAAAGGAAGAGCCCGCAGCTGTGGCAGGTCCCCCAGAGCCTGTCGCACTCCTTGTTTCCATGGTAGTCCTTCAGGCAGCACCATGGGCAGACTGTGTGCAAGGACCCCTACAACCTGTTTCATTTTTTTTTTCTCCTGATATGCAGCCCCGAAGCGGGCGTCAAACTAAAATACCAAGTGTACTGCAATACTATTTTGCAGGTGCGGAATGCTCTTTTTAAAAGCACTGCCAACCAAGTCTCATTTCCCGTTTCCTCAATTGTGTCTACATTCCTAAAATGACCCTCCCTCGTCTCAACACGTATTCCTGCTGAGGCAGCGATAAACACAATCTCCTTGTTAACCTAAAGATGTCACATTATTTTACATCTGATTTGCTTTCCTTAGTAGCAAGTCAAAATAAAAAACACACGAGAGACTCGGCGGGTTTCTGAGGGGCTCAACGTCGCTGTATTGAGATCGCCAAGGTCACGGCTCAGTTCTGACACCAATAACGTAAGGGGGCTTTCCTGGAATCAGACACTAATGAGATCCAAATGACAAGGTTGATTGTTTTCACTCTTCTCCCCAACCGAGGATCTCAACCTACAAGCTCAGCCTGCAGAAGAGATTCCCAATCCTCCTCCTGAAGGAAAACAGCACCGTATGCAGATGAACAAAGACTAGCAAAGACTATTACGGTCAGTAGCGGGTACAAATATTAATTTTATCATAAAGTTAAGACTGCAATTGAGCCTGAGGGTGTGTGCCGCTTGTAGTTTTGCATGTTATTTATACGGTGGGTGCATTACGCTCACTGACACCGAGTCGTAATTCCTCGCAATACATCAAGTGCACAGGGGTAGCCTCTAAGAGCTTAAATTAAGTCGCTGGCCTTTAAAAGCATCTCTCTTAGGGGCCTGTCCGGATTAATAAATTCAACTGATTTGGCTTTAATATTATTCGGAGTGCATTAGAATGTAGCTAACAGCTGGGGTGGCCAGTCTCAGGAGCGCCACTGAGAGTCTGAGGGCAGCAAGGCCAGAGGTCTCTCCGTTACAGGTGCGGCCCTGACAGCCTCGGCTCCAGGAGCAGAAAGGCCAGGCTCGGATGAAAGGATGATGAGGAAGGGCCAGCGACTGCCTCTGAAACAAAGTCACCCCTTCTGCGACCAAGCAAAACGCTCGCCGCTGGTTGTGTTTACTTCCTCCATCCTTTTCTTTCCTTTTTATCGTCATAGCGAGGAAACGTTAAACAAAGTTAATAGAAAAGGACAGCCCTCTTGGTGAAACATTATAACCATAATCAAGGAAAATGTAGTTTAATAAACATGGGAAATCTCTGGCTTTTTTTTTTCCCTTCGCCCAGACTGAATTGCGTTGTGCACCCTTGAGGCAGGACCTTGAGAACAGAGAGGCATGGAAGTGGAAATTGGTGAAATGATAGAAAGGGAGATATGGGGACGGAAAGAAAGAGAGAAAGACACCTTTGTTAGCTATCTGTTGTCGCCTCAATGGTCGCCGTTTAGCGTGCGCACACCCCGTCAGGCAACAATACACAGAATAATTTAACCGCATATTTCATTTTAATTAACAGTGATATAATGCAATGTGACTCTCAGCCTCCTGAGGAAAGAACGCAATATTTGGCTTGATGAATCTACTGGAGCCACTCGCAGTTTCTCTTCTCACCTCATGGGATTCAGGTATCATTAGAGATAAGCAGAGATCTGCTTTTTGTCTCACGGTTAAAAAAAAAAGTGCAGACACATGGGTGACTGCAGAAGTGTTCAATATTAATAGCCTTTCATCAAGGACACAATTAGGACACCTCTATTTGACACATTCTATAGGAGTCGGATGAATATGTATATTTGCTGTTCTGGAATCTGCCACGGCACCAAAGCGACAGGGTGAAATCATTGCACAAAAAGACAATCAGGTGGATTGCTTTTTCTTTTATAATTCTGTCTGGGTCATGTTGCACTGCACAGGTAGATTGCATATGTAATGGGTCTACAGTATATGTTAAAACTGGCAGAAACAGCACAGCAATACAAATGCAGCTTTGGTTTCACTAGAGGTGTAACGGTACCTTGTTTTATTTTTATATTAGTCACAGTAATATATATATATATATATATATATATATATATATATATATATATATATATTTTTTTTTTTTTTTTTTCCCCAAATCAATGCCATACTGTATGTCTAAACAGGATATGTTCAAAATGTAAGGTTTCTGTGAGATTTAGTTTAGGTGCTGTACCAATAACAGCCACTGGTTGATTTATTTTTTTGATACGTTTGATTTTTCTGCTGTCAAAAACATGCATCGATTTGTCACAATATCACAAATATTACAAAACAGATACCCCAAAGAATGTAACTAATGATATGTGATTGGTCAGAATTAGAAAATAACTTATTACGTAATAAAATAGGTATGTAATATACAGATACACTCACCGGCCACTTTATTAGGTACACCTTACTAGTACCGGGTTGGACCCCCTTTAACCTTCAGAACTGACCTAATCCTTTGTGGCATAGATTCAACAAGGCACTGGAAACATTCCTCCATATTGACATGATAGCATCACACAGTTGCAGCAGATTTGTCAGCTGCACATTCATGATGCAAATTTTTAACATTATTAGAATTGCTATGAGAGGTTTAGAAACCTTTACCAGTATTTAAACAACTCTATAAGCAATGAACTTTAAATGAATGAAATGAAACTTAATTGACTTTAAAACTATTTAATTCCAGTTTTATTCCAGTATTCAATTGGTACTAATGAGTCCAAAGTGTGCCAAGAAAATATCCCCTACACCATTACACCACCAGCAGCAGCCTGACCCATTAATACAAGGCAGGATGGGTCCATGCTTTCATATTGTTGATGTCAAATTCTGACTCTACCATCCGAATGCCACAGTAGAAATCAAGACTCATCAGACTCGACAACGTTTTTTTCAATCTGCTATTGTCCAATTTTGGTGAGCCTGTACAAATTGTAGCCTCAGTTTCCTGTTCTTAGCTGACAGGAGTGGCACCCGGTGTGGTCTTCTGCTACTGTAGCCCATTTGCCCCCAGGTTGGATGTGTTGTGTGTTCAGAGATGCTCTTCAGCATACCTCAGTTGTAAACTGCAGCAGATTGTCTTGACCATGTCTATATGCCTAAATGCATTGAGTTGCTGCTATGTGATTGGCTGATTAGAAATTTGCGTTAACGAGCAGTTGGACAGGTGTACCTAATAAAGCCTCCATTGAGTGTATAAAATATTAACTGTACACTTTTTTTACACAGCCGCCATTTTAAAGAACCAAAGCGAGGCTGCGGTGGGAAGAAACCCGGAAGTATTGAACCAGTACTGTAAACATTGCAGTGACATGCTGTGGACTATAAACCTCCAGTTGTTGCAGAGATTTCAAAATGCAGAAATGTTGTAAACATCACTTCAATATCATTCAGTAAGTTTCATTTAAACTTGTGAACCGATGACCTTCTCGGCCAATCACAGTCATTTCTGTTAAACACGTGAACAAAAAGGCAAATTAGAGCTGTTTTAAGAAAGCCATCAACAGTGCCTTAAATGTGTGCAGTAAATTGACAGTTTTTCTTTTAATTCAGTAACGTGACAAGTCTAAAATAGTTATAAATTTACTTTTGTGCCTGGAGCAATTAGGTTATGTAATAAATGTAGTTAATCTATGGACTATTATTTGTTTTTTGAACTTGCTGTTAAGTGTTGATGTTTATTGTGTTAAGTGTGTCAGTCTTGTTATACTATATAAAGCACCACCACGTCGAAACAAATTGCCCCAAAGGGGATTAATAAAGTTTTAAACTTAACTAAAAACTAAAGAATCAGTTTATCAACTTAAGCTTGATAAAAGGCATCTAAAACGTGTGCTTGGGAAAGGAAACAGCTAACTAGTGCCATTTACTTTAACTTAGCTGAAAATGAGCTCTGATATCCCTTTATATTTTCACCATTCATTCAGAACTTTTTTTCTCTCCCTTTTTTATATAATAAACACAATCATACACAACATGTATTCACAATCAACAGTTACTCCAGGGTTTGTTCTCACTTCCTGTCTCGCCTCTTGTGAAATAATTGTTACTTTTGCCTTTCCTTACTGTGAAACAATTTCTCTTTTTTTTACACCAAAAAAAATTCTTATGTTATTGAAATCAGCCTACATATCAATTATAATTGGAGACTGAGGTTTTAGAGAGGTCACTGCCCGCTGCCACTGATAGCGCAGTCAATCCGCAGGCATGCTTTGCCTCCTCTTTCATTAACAAGGCCTGCTAATTACAGCCATATGAACTGTCCTCCAGATCTAACACGCACATCTTAATTGAACACACCATTGATGAAAAAAAGAGAGAGAATTTAACTTCATTTAAAGCTCCTGACTCAGATTAATTAGATGTGGTCTTGCATTGGAACCACTTTGCTCTGTGATCATGGTTTAAAGGGTCCAGTTGTGGAGATATTGAAATGATGTTTGTTTTGCTCATGAGTCTGCGATGTCAGCCACCAGGGCCCAATTAGCCAGCAAACTGAAGCCTCTGTTAGTTTCTCCTCTTTAGCTTTGACAAGCAGCCGAGGCCCATGTGGTTATATTTCTCTCCTTACCCCTGTGCTACAGCCGCGCTTTGCTCCTTTACACTGTTCAGACATGGGGTGAGTGTAACGTGTAGTGAAATGATAAGTGCTAGAGTTAAAACAAAATGAAAACAACAACATATCTGTCCCTTTTCATTTCAAAACTGCAGGGAAAACTAAAAACTAAGATAGTAGATGACGCCTTGTATAATCTGTTGAGTAGGAACGGCTTTTTTTGGTTGCATGTTACAAATATTTTATGAGTGGATTCAATTATTACTATTAATACATCTGGTGACACTTTATTTTAGGTCACAATTCATGCTATTAACAAACAGTTAACTAAGACTGTTAGCTCAATAAACTGCTAATTAGCTGCTTATTAATAGTCAGTAAGGTGGAAGTTGGGTTTAGGTTTTGGGCAGAGATGGCAAAAGTACTGGTAAAAGTACGACTCTGGTAAAAGTTGAAGTACTGATTAAACTTTTGTACTTATATAAGTACAACCTCAAAAATGTACTTAAATAAAAATTATCCATTACTACCTGTACATGTTTTAGTTTCACTAGGAAAGTAAGTATCAGGTTTCCCCCATGTACTGTATCATCATCCTGACGCAAACTCACAGCATTCAGCTTGTAGTTTTGCGGCTGTTGGATCAAGACAACAGCTGCCATTCATGTTTATACACAAAAAATAATTCAGTGATCTGTATATTTTTCTAAATAATGTGTTATATCTTACACTGAATTCTGTCCAAAATTAGATTTTTTTTTTACACTTTATATTTTAATTTTCTATTGAATATATAAAAATATTTTTCCTCTGCTAAAATAAATACTCATCATATTTGACTGCAAACTATTTTTCTTTTTTTTTTTTTTGCATTAGAAGCTCTTATACATAACACCAGGGTATTGTAGATATTTTATTTAATGGATAAACATTAATTCTGTTAATACATTTATTCTATGCTAAAAGCTACATACACAGGGGTGACTACAACCTACAAAACATGGACATGATCTTTTATTCACTATAATTTTTATTCACGAATTGCCCAGTATAAATAATTTTGTTCCTGTAAAACATTAGTTAAAAATAAATTTAAGATTAATATGCCTATATGTAAAAATCATATAGTCAATAAAAAACAATTCTTTAAAATAATTTTTTACGGTATTAAATTTGAAAAAACAGAGAAATCCCGTTAAAAAAGCTATCATAACATTATATATCAATATGTGGCTCTTTCTGGATTCTCGGAAGCTATAGAAATTAAAAATGTAAAACAGAAAATGGGACCGTTGTTTCCGTTTACATCCAATAAAATGGATCACAATAACAGGCAGGTCAAGCCAGCAGTGAATATCATGAATTGTGACTTAAACTAAAGTGTTACCATATATTTTAATTAAAAAATAATAATAATTAAATAAGATATCTGAAGTGTTCCTATGTGTGTTGATTTTTTTTAACCTGTTAATTTGCACTTTTTTAATGTTTCACACACAGACGACAATGTTGTCCAAACAATCCAGGAAAATAACAAAAAAATGTTACATTATGCATGCCAGGCCAGCAGTTGGCAATGCCACTTTGTAAAAAAAAAAAAAAAAAAAGCACTTCACGCATCTTCACATACCCAGACTGAACACCATACACAGGAACCATTTACACATTCTCTTTTATATATTTACACAGAGTTGATAATGCAATATATAGTGTTTTCTTTTTAAATAACTTAATACCTTCTGAAAATAAAGTTGTGTTTATAGTAAATTTCAAGTGCTTGGTGGTCTCTTAATAAAACTTCTATTGGATAAAGTCTATCAGATAAAGAACCAACCGATATGCTCATATTTCATCTGCCTTCCATTGCGTTTGGAATAAACATTAGGTTCAAGACAAATGATTTAAAGCAAACTTTACAGACTCTGATCACCGTCCAGGTTCTCTCTCAGCACCATGACGGTATGTTTCTATGATTTGTTGGTGTCCTGCCTTTTGAAAATGTCTACAGTACCAAATACTGTAGATGATTTGACAAAGACTTTGTTCATATGCTTTAGGGCATAATTCAACCAATTCCCCTCATACAATTTGGAATCCATATGACTGAAAAATACAGAGTAAATGGTGACCACAGCTTCAGTTCACTGTCTTTGGTTAGACATGCTCTTTTGGAATTCATGTTAAGTACAAACTAGTACTGTGACAACTATGGTTGGGTATGGTTTATGTTTTTTTAAGATATCAATGCCAACTCAATTGTTTTAGTAGATTTGTCATGATCAATATGCTAAAAGCTGAACATATTCACAATAAATTTAAAAATACAAGTAAAAAGAATACTGTAAAATACACAAATTCACAATAAAATCTAAGCCACTTAACATTTCTACAATAATGTGGCACTGAACAGCAGTTACATTACTAAAACACAAAGTAGTATGTATGCTACAACCTAGCTTTAAATTCCAGCAGTTTATTTGCAGAAAATGACAGGATCATGTATGCCTTCACTGCAAAACAAACAAACAAACAAACCAGTTTAAAAAATGTAAAATATTGTTGTTCTACTGTACACTCACTGGCCACTTTATTTGTTTACCTGACTAGTACCGGGTTGGACCTCCTTTTGCCTTCAGAACTGCCCTAATCCTTGGTGGCATAGATTCAACAAGGTACTGGAAATATACCTCAGAGATTTTGGTTTTTATTGACATGATAGCTCCACATCCATGATGTAAATCTCCCATTCCACCACATCCTAAATGTGCTCTATTGGATTGAGTCAGGTTACTGTGGAGGCCATTTGTTGCTCGGTTTGTTCCATGTGATTGGCTGATTAGAAATTTGTGTTGACGAGCAGCTGGACAGATGTTCCTAAAGAAGTGGCCGGTGAGTGTACGTTGCAGTCAATCGTACAATAACTTTCTGTGTCTGTTTAATCATTTATGGTTGTTGCAGTTCCATCTTTCCACTTCAGTGTTTTTCAACAGACAGGAAAACAATAATAATTGTTCCAAAGTAGCATAACATAAGGTGTGCGTTATTGCTTTACAGTTAAAATCAGAAAATTAAAAATCAGAAAATTTTAATGTTATTCTGCAGGTAATCTACTATTACAAAAACACCATTTTTTTGTTGTATTGTTGATTAATATGCAAATATCTACACATTTAATTTTGTATATAATTGTTGCAGTATAATATTTTGTCTTTTTAATGAATGCAATATATGAGACCTATTGTGGCATTTTTTCACTAAATGAGTGGATCTAACAGGATTTGCATTTTAAAACTTATACACTCATACATTCAATACATTTTCCACTCCCTACTATACTCTCAAAATCATTTAGTATAAATCAAAACATTTTAAATTTTATTTAATTTATTTCCAACTTTCAAAATTCTGTGCAAAAATGGGCAAAAAAATCTAAAATGTATCGCTTATTGTTTATTTTAATATGAATAAGCATGTTTACAATCTTCTATTTTCTTCACCCCTGATTTCAATCGACAGCTCTGGCATTTAAGTGGCGCTGAAATCTGTGTTCTGATACGCTCCAGTACACCATGATCATATACAGTAGGTACAGTACCTCATTGTCCCTGGGTTTCGAGGCCCCCGTGACCACAACATGGGGGTTGAGTAAATAAATAATATCAGAATTGTAATATTTGATGGACAGCAGCGTGTAGGACGGGTATGGGGTGGCTGATGGCAGGAGGGGGAGGAGTCTAGGCGTGAGACAGACAGGGGGAAACAAAGCCATCATCTCCCTGCGCTTGCCCTTCTCTCCCCTCTCCTCCAGCGCACCAATTACTGGCTCCCCTGCTCCGCCATCAGTATTCAGCAGGGCTCGCTCTCAGCACCACTCGCCCCGGGCCATTGAATACGTTACCTCTGCTATGGGGTGAGGGGCTCCAGGGCAGTGTGCCCCATAACCCTGTGGATAATTTGGGATTCCTGTTCCCCACTGGCGAGGAGAGGAGGAGCGGTAAAGAGAGAAAACAAATAAAGGAATGAGGTCGTTGCAGGCGCCTTACCCAGAGATATACTGATTTATTGATCGCTTCATTCTTTCATTTGATTTGTGTGAAATTGTAATTAAGCTGGCTATTTATGAGTCCTGCATGGCAAGAGTCTGGCTAACAGTATATTGGTACCTACAGGTAAAGCCGTTCACAATGCCTAATGAACTCTAATCTGTTCGCTATGGAATATGCTCGGTTCAGCCTGATGATGATCTAGTAATGATAATAATGACTTGCATTAATTATTGATGTTTTTTAAGGTTTGGGTTTGAATGGCAGTGATGTGGATTTA